AATATTTAATAGTATTTGGGTACTATTCCGTTATGATAAAGTTTAGTAAGTGTAACTATTATAATAACTTAAATGTCTTACGTACAGTATTTGTCTTATTTTTATTGTTGTACAATTTTCTTTGATAATCGTACACATGTCCATAATGGGACATCAAATATAATTCTAACAGAATTCGAGGACTGTTAATATTTATAAAATTATAAATTAAGATATAATCCATTATTAAAAATATTTGATTATTGTTATTTATTAATAATATAGAATTTATTATTTTAAATTGGATTTAAATATCTACAAAAATAACAATACTTCTAAAACAAACTCATTAGTTATATACAGTATATGTTATAACAGACTCATAACTATCTTTAAAAACTCTTAAAAACTCTGCTTTTATTTGGTTGCGTTCATATTGTTTATATATAAGTTTTCAATTATAAGTATATATTAATAATATAAAGTATTTAAAAAAAATAATAGAATATAAATTTTATAAATAATTATTTATATAGCGTGGTACTCAAAATTTTTTGAAAAATTTCTTAATACATTTAACTTAATAAAAACTTATTTAAAAATTAAATAAAATTTAAATAGAAATACTTGAACACTATAAAATTACTTTTATTTATAACTAGTTTATAAATTATATTATAAAATTTTTTTAGAAAAAAATTTTAATAAAAATTAATATAAATTTATTTTTTATTATTTATTAAATAAACAATTTTATAATTTAATTTTAATATTATTATAATCGATTGTATTATATTAAAAAATTTTTTTTATAAATAAATATTAAATTATTTATTATATATAGGGTATTAAAAAAATAATTATTATATTATTAATTTGTAACTTAACAAAAATTAGTAAAAAATAAAATAAAAAATTTAAATAATTGAAGTAATAACATCTATAAAATAATTTTTTTTATTAATTATTTAATTATTTAATTTGATATTTTAATTTTTTTTTAAAAAAATAATATACTATATATTTATTTTTATATAGTTGAATAAAAAATTTTAAAAAGTAAAATAAAAGAACAAAATTAACGAATTAAATAATTTTTTTAAGAAAATATAAAATATAAAAACTATTTTTAAATAAATACTTATTTTAATAATTATAAAATTTCAATTATAAAAAAAATTTTTTTGCTTTTTTTTGCAACATACTATATAGTACACAAGAATTATTAATACATAAAAAAAAATAACAATATTTTTGAAATAACAAATAATATTCTAAAATTAACAATTTAAATACTAGCTTGCTTTATAAAATCTATTTTAATTATACAAAATATATAAATATTAAAATTGATATTGTTTTTGATATAATATCAAATAACTAATATATTTATTGAAATTTATATATTTTTTAATTTTAAATTTTAACATTAAATTTTTATTTTAATATCCATTAAACCAAATAAAATTTATTAAACTTTTAAATATACTGTATTTTACAACAAATTTTTTTATTATAAAGATATACAATATTTTTATATACAGCATATAATCAATATATATTTAAAATTATAAAGACAAAAAATTTCAATTTATTAAACTTTATAAATTAATGAAATTTTTTAATAGATTAAATTTTTCAAAAAAATAAACAAGCAAACAATGATATTTAGTTTTTTAATTTAAAAAAAATAGAAAGTAATTGTAACTTGAATTTTAAATGATTCATAATTTTGTGAAATAAAATTTTTGAAAAAAATCCATAAATTTTAATATGTTTAAAATTTAAATGTAATATATTTTACTAAAGGTTAAATTAAAATTTTCATATAAGAATAACCATCAAATTTTACTAATCATAAACAAATAAATTGTCAAAAGTAATGTTTAATAATTTTTAGATAAGTCGTATACCTTTGATTAAAAACAAAAAAATTTCAATTTAATAGCTAACGTGAATATCACAATTTGTTTAAAAGCTTTGTGATCAAAATAACATTAAGTAATATGAAGAAAATTTCAATAATCAAATCTCGGTGATTAAGTCGCCACCCTCACAGACATTTAATTTTCTTCGATCGTTCCCTACTTTATCATCACACATTAACTCTTCAACACTTTCTTTATTCTTTTGGTACTCTTTGAACTCACTGATTCTCTTCTCTTTCTCAAATTCCACCCCTTTTTTCATAAATTCTAGTATACCTAATTCATTTTTTTCTTCATCAGTCCGTCTCAGGGAATTCGTGTATGCCAGATA